ACCACCACCACCTCCGCCACCACCGTTGCCACCACCACCACCACCGATACGTCTACTACTACCACCACCCTCGCCATCGCCGTCGTTGTCTACTAGGGAAGTAGTAGACGGTGAAAGAGCCGCGGCACGGGGGTGCGGGGGTAAAGGGGCAGAAGGCAGCAAAGAGAAGAAAACGGGAGGAAGAAACTGGGAGAAAAGCCGGAAACAAGAGAAAGATCGAGGAAAAGAAGCAAAGAAAGAGAAACGTAACGAGGGAAAATGTACGAGACAGCGAGTAGTAAAAAGACGAGGGGGATGGAGAGAAATGAGGCGCGTAGGAAAATAAAGAGATCAATGAGGGAGAGAGTAACCGCGGATGAGCACGGAGACTGTATTTTAATTTCCGACAATTTCTCCTCGATTTCCGGCCGTTTCGAAAAATCCCACGAGCGAGTCGCATATGTCGCGAACGCGTGGCGCATGCATCTCCGCACACGCACGAAAGATCCACGCGCTTCCGCAGCGTCGGCACCGTTGTTGGTGGGTGCTCGCGAGGCTCGGGAACTCGCGAGTATCGCTAAGTAAATTGGTGAAAAATTCGCAACAGAGGGGATCGAATAGCCATCAACGGGGAGGAGGAAATGTCAAGCAGACGCGACTGCGAGCGACGAGGAGCGGAGAAGGTTAAGGAAGAGCAGGCAAGAAAGATAGAGCGCGAGGGAGAGGCGGAGGGAAAGCGAGGGAGGAGGACAGAGGTAGCGAGCGAAGAGCCGGGGTGCCGGAACGAGCGGGGCCGACCCTGCGCGCAGCCTCCCCAGTCCACCCCGAAGATTCAGTCGTCGTGCGGCAGAGGAGGACCGAGGAACGCCCGGTCGAAACACGCTGCTCTTCTCTCGATCCGTCTCTCTTTCAACCCTCTCTGTTCCTCCGTTGGTCGGTCAGACGCACGCTCGTTGCCTCCCTTCGGTCGGTACGTGGTGCGTGCCACGGCTACGAGTGGAAACGAAGCTACGAGGACGCTCGCTGGCTTCCCGGTCTACGCAACGACACTGTTACGACCAGTACCACGGTACGACCTCGGCGACGTGGCTGATATTCGGAAGGGAAAAAGGGCGAAACGAGCTGGCCGGTTCTCTGCGTGCATTTTACCACCATTCCAACGTTCACACTGGTCTCCGGGTTTCAAGACCTGTCTCCTTCGACTCTTTGCCTGCTCCCACGCACAGGCTCCTCTCTCTCTCTCTCTCTCTCTCTCTGTCTACCTGGTGAAGGGCGAAGGGTGGGTAGCGATATTGCTTGCCGCGATACTGGTCCCTCGGTGGTGGTAGTGTTGCTGCTGGTAGTGGTAGTGGCGGCGGTGGTGGTGGTGCGTGGTGGTGGTAGTGGTGGTGGTGCTGGTAGTGGTGGCGGCGGTGATACCAGCGATGTTGCTGGTGGTGGTGACGGTTTAAATTTCAGCCGCGTGCTCGGGTTCACGTACGTGAGCCATTACACGGGTCCACGGGCTTTCTCGTCAACCGGGTAGGATATACGAGCGGCAGTCACGGTTCACGGATGCAAATTTCCACTCGGGCCCGGCATCTCGAGGGGTCGCGCAATTTTTTCCCATCATCGGCACGCGCATCCCTCGCGGTCCTCCGCCGCCGCCGCCGCCGTCGCCGCTTCTAACCCCCGCGTGACAATTCCCGCGTGCGTGCACGCGTGTCTCTTATCCACTATATGGATTTTGCGCCTGCCTCTTCCTCGAACGCGATCACGAAGCTTCGATCCAGCCGGCACAAAAACAGACGCCGGGGACACGTTCTGCTCGACTCGCGCTCTGTCCCACGCTCCTCCTCGAGGCCTCGCGTTCGCTACGAGTCGGCCAACTGCTCGCGCTTCTCTCCATCGTGGTCCACGAGGATCGGGAAGCCTCGGTTACCTAGACGAGAATCGTCCCTCGTAGGCATATCTGGTCGGACAGAGTGGTTGGACGTTGATCGTCTGCTGTGACAAAATGCCCGACGGCGACCGTTCGTTCGACGGAGAGTACGTTCGTATGACGACGAGTCGCTTTCTTCCTGCGACGCGCCGCGGGGTGAACTCTCGTGCCGGAGGTAGCCCGTGAAACTTTGATTAAACGAAACAACGTGATCGATTACGCCACGCCGTAGACACGTTCCGCTCTGCTCCACACTGTCCGCTTCGTCCACGAGCCAAGCTAAATCGGAGAACAACGAAACGGGGACTATTCTCTGGTCTAGGCAGAGGCCGAGCGTGTCGTAGGCTGTTGGCAGCGGACGAGCTTTCGAGCGTCGTTCGAAAGCTCGTTACGTCGCAGAGTAACGTCGCAAAGTAGGGTAGGAAGCGCGTAACAAACACACGGTAAACGCTAGCCCGATATCTCTGAACCCGGTCTCGGGCAAGGAAATAAGGGGCGCGTACGCCCCGGCGTGTGCAGCTTTGCATTATGGAAATCCGCGAGACTTTACGACTTTTCGAAGATATCGCGCGCGTTTCCTTATCTCGGTTTAAGGCTCTCCGGGAAACGTTTATCTCCGTGGCGTAAAGGGGATGGATAGACTCCGTAAAATCGGCAATCGACTCTCTCCGTCTCCTTCCCGCGAGATATTTGTATTCCCGGGGCGGAAGGGCCGGGGAGGAAGGGTGGGAAATTTTTCGACGAGAACGATTGTTCGTGCCAGGGCCACGTCGGACAGCAGCAGCAGCAGCAGCTACTCTCTGCCGATCGGTTTTTCGTCCATCCGTTCCGCGGATTCGGCCGCGTATTCCAGCTGCCGCTCGATCGCGCGGGAATGAATATATCGGTAACCGTGGAACAGACGAGCACAGAGGGTCGATGGTTTCCCGTTGTACTCGACTCTTTCTCGTTGAATAGAAATGCCGACTACTCCCTTTTATTTTTTTCCCTTTTCCTCTTTTTTTTCTTTCTTTTTTTTTTTTTTTTTTTTTTGTTGGGGGTTTTGTCCGGTACGA